TAAGCCTTATCCAGGTGCAGATTTGATGTACCTTAGAACTTTGTGAGCAACTGTCAAGTGAGTTTTGGAAGGTTTATCCATAAACTAACTGAGAACTTGGACTGGGTAACTAATGTCAGGCCTAGTGATGGTGAGATAAAGCAATCTACCAATGATTCTTCTATATGTAAGGGATCATCCAAACAATCACCTTCATCCTTGCATAGCTTGGAATTTTGTTCCATAGGAATTTTGACTGGCGTACAACCCAGGATCTCTGAATCAGCTAGAATATCAAGAGCATACCCTCATTAGTAGATGTGTATTCTTGTACGTGCTCTTGCCACTTCGATTCCAAGAAAAAATCTCCAGGCACCTAAGTCCTTGATCTTAAACCTATTATGTAAATAATCCTTGACTGTAGTGATGGTGTCCATGGAGCTACTGGCAAGGATTATGTCATCGACATAAACAAGAAGGGAAGTGAAAGAAGTGCTAGTGGACATGGTGAACAAGCTATAATCAACCTTTGACTGGGAGAAACTAAAATCTAATAAGCACGAGGTGAGTTTTGCATACCATTGTCTGCTAGCCTGCTTCAAACCATATAAGCTTTTGAGGAGCTTGCACACCTGTCCAGTTGTTCCCTTGTTGTACCCTGGTGGTTTTCTCATGTAAATATCTTCTTCTAAGTCGCCATGTAGGAAAGCATTATTTACATCGAATTGATGTAAATGTCAACTACGAACAACAACAACTGATAAAAGATATCACACAATGACCATCTTGGTTACGGGAGAGAAAGTCTCATGATAAGCGATGCCTTCTTGTTGAGTATACCCCTTAGTAACCAATCTGGCCTTTAATCTCTTTATACTGCCATCTAAATTCCATTTTATTTTATAGATATATTTACAGTCCACGATGCTTTTCCAGGAGGCAGATCAGTGAGAATCCAAGTCTGATTCTTTTCCAAAACTTGCAATTTTACATCCATTGCCTTACACCAACCTAGATCCTTAACTGCTGTAGAATAGGAGGTTGGCTCGACCATGATAGAAAGTTGAGAAGAAAAAACTTGAAACTTGGGTGAAAAACAATCATATGAAAGGTAATTGGATAAAGGAAAAGAATAGTTTGTAGGAGGGAATGATACCTGTGCCGTGGATTGAAAATCTGAAATGAGTGCAGCTTATTGACAATGAAAATCCTGCAAGTATTTAGGGGCAGTCCTGTTTCTAATGGATTTTTGAAGTGCAATATGAGGGGAAAATAAGGGAATATCATGTGCAATAGGATTAGAAGAGATATGAGAGTTTTCAAGCTCAAAATCCTTAGGAGTAGAAGCAGGATTACTGTAAAAAGATAGAGTGTTTGGTGAAGTAGAGGTGGTGTCTTCATTCTGTGAAAAACAATGAAAGTCAGATGAATAATCTGAACAAGGAATGTTCTACAGTCCTAGTATGGGATTGGAAGTGGAATGTTTTGTAGTGGTGTTAGAGAGTGACTTGAAAGGAAAATTAGTTTCATGAAAAAGGACATCCTTATAAAGAAAAATGGTCCTACTATTTAAATCCATCAGCTTATATCCCTTGACTCTAAAGGGGTAACCTAGAAAAATACACTTTTTACCTCTCGGATCAAATTTTCTTCTCTCATGTGAAATGGTTGTGGCAAAACAAAGACACCCAAAATTTTTTAAATGAGAATAATTTGGTTTATTATTAAAAAAAACTTCATAAGGGGTTTGATTTGCAAGTATAGGGGTAAGTGTTCTATTTATAAGGTAGACCGTGGTCAAGATACAATCATTCCAAAATAAGAGGGGAAGGTTAAATTGGAAAAACAGTATACGAGCTATATTTAATAAGTGTTGGTGTTTTCTCTCAACTATCCTATTTTGTTGGGGTGTCTCAACACAAGTTCGTTGGTGAATAATCCTATTTTTATTGTAAAAGTCAGTCATCTTGAACTTAATACCATTATCACTACGTATGTTCTTGATTTTACATTTGAACTGTGTTTCTACAAGGTGGTAGAAGGATTTAATGCATTTTCTTGTTTCAGATTTGGTTGAAGTAAATAGACCCAAGTTGTTCTAGACAAATCATCTACTAAGGTAAAAAAATACCTTGAACCATCATAAGCATTAGTGGAACATGGATCTTAAATATCACAGTATATTAATTCAAAAATAGTAGAAGATTTATGTGCACTAATAGGAAAAAGGAGTCTATGCTGTTTGGCAAGGGGACAAATACAACAAGGAGAAGTTTTATTTATGAATAAGTTACTTCTTACAACAGTATCATCTATCAATTTCATTCTTGAATCAGAAATATGACCAAGGCAACAATGCCAAAGATCAATCACATCTATACTACTTTGAACAGAAATAGCAATTAAAGGGAAATTTAGAGACAAATATGATAGAAGGTCAGCCAAGGATGAATGAAAAACTGCTCTAGGAAGAAGGTGATACAAGCCACTTCTCACTTCAGCAATTCCAATTGTGGTCCAGGTGGAAAGGTCCTGTATAAAACATGTATTATTTATAAAAACCAAACAGTAATTCAGTTTTTCTGTAAGTCTTTTAATAGAGATCAAATTAAAAGAAAAGAAAGGAATGCACAAAACATTATCAAGGGTAATCTTATCAATAAGTTGAAAGCTGCCTAGATGTGTGGTTGATACAAAAGTTTTATTAGGTAAATTTACCCTATAGGATACCTCTGCAATATTAGAAGTGAAAAGGGAAGGGCTACACACCATATGGTCCGTAGCCCTTGAATTAACAATCTAGGAAATATTATTTGACTTTAAAAAAGTAGCAGGAATATCATTACAAAGCATAATTTTACCAGACATCTTTGAAGGTGTGATACTGATTTTTGAATTGGGTAGAGTTTGACTTGCAGAGGAAGTTGCAGTTAAAGGATCTTTGGGCTGAATAAGGCTCGTGAGATGAAGATATTGCTTTTTGGTGAAAACCATTTTCTCCTTACTCACCTCCTTCTGATAAGGACTTATAAACAAAGCAGCTTGATTAGCAAAGGAACTTATAATTTTTCCTTTGTGAAGTTTGTGACCCGGGGGATACCTATGAAGCTTGTAACATTTCTCAACCATGTGACCACTCATATTGCAGTGAGAACGTACTGGAGGCTCAGCATTTCCAGCCTTATAGTAATTTTCGAGTGTATGACCTTGTGTGTGACAATGTGGACAGTAAGGCCCACTCATATTGCAGTGAGAACATACTGGAGGCTCAACATTTCCAGCCTTATAGTAATTTTCGAGTGTATAACCTTGTGTGTGACAATGTGGACAGTAAGGCTTTTCTTTCCTCTAGTTTGTGAAATTTCTCTTAGTTGTGTTAAAAGGGGCATGGAAAAACTTACTGGCTAATGCCATAGACTTATAGGAAGGAGTGTTGTTGGCGAGTTGGTGGTGCTGCTCTTGTTGTTGGATCATTGAGAACACCTTGCTAATACTGGGAAGAGGCTCTATTAGCATGATTTGATCTCTAGCATTAGTATATTGATCATTCAAACCCATAAGAAACTGTATAATATAATCTCTCTGATACCTCTCATTCAACATTTTCAACTGCCGCATGTGCATAATGGTATTGGATTATAAATAATCATTTCATCCCAAAGAGTTTTAAGATTACCAAAATAAGTACTTATAGAGTTCTTGTCATGTCGAAGAACAACCAAATCTCTTCTAAGTTGGAAGATGCGAGGACCATTCTGTTGGGTGAAACGATCCTTAAGCTCTGTCCATACCATTTAAGCATCATCCACGAAAGCCAGAGTATGTTTGATATCAATACTGATTGCATTTTGTATCCAAGAAACCACCATGTCATTGCACCTTTCCCACATTTCAAACAGAAGATCCTCTTCACTCGTTGGCCTAGTAATGATTTCAGAAATGAAGCCAAGCTTGTTCTTTGCCCTAATTGCTCGACACATTGCTCGTGACTAGGTGATATAATTTTCAGTGGTGAGCAACTCAGTGACAAGAATCAAAGTTGTGTGGTCCCCATTTTCCATACGATATGGATTATTTAGATATGTGAAGTTGAAATAGAGAGAAACTGGTTTGAGACTTTGGGTGTTTGTAAATTATGAAATTGAGGATTGTTCTTCTATGGTTTGATTGGAGAAAGAAAATAATTAACTGTACTCTGATACCATGTTATAATTATCAAAACCTGAGAAAGAACAACCGACTCATAGAAAAGATGAATAAGTTTTTTATCTATATTGAATTTGTTTCTCCCACACTTCTTGCGTTTCTTTTACGGAAAGGAGTGATATATATAATATATATTTTATTCTATTAGTATCGTATAACTTACTAGGAAAAGAAAAGAAAAAAAAGAATGTCATTCAGCTTATGTTAAAAGCCAAAAAAATACTAATAATAGAAAAAGAGAATATAATAAAGGCGTTTCTTTTATAGAAGGGAGTGATATATATAATATATATTTTATATGATATAACTGACTAGGAAAAGAAAAGGAAAAAGAGAGTGTCATTCAGCTTATGTTAAAAGCTAAAAAATACTAATAATAGAAAAAGAGAATATAATAAAGCATGTGTTATCTATCATCTTGTTATTGTAATGAGAGAGCTAGATAACTAGTCATCGTGCCTCGATTGATAGAATACTTATGTCCCGTAATACACATTTCCATTTTTTTTAGATAAAGCACCACGACTTCGAGCTTTTACAATCATGGACAAAGCTACAAAGGAGGAATTTTCCTTTCTGGTGCGGTTGCAACTTTTGAATTTTCCTTTCTGGTGCGGTTGTTACTTTTTTTAACCACCACACCATCACGTGAGAGTAAACCAGATTCACCTGGCCGTCCAGCTGACGAGACCAGACCAGGTCACCAGGATCGAACGACAACGCCCTTTAATGCAGGGCCAATACAGTCTTTTCAAGCATTGCCGTTAATTTTAAAAAATATTTTTCTGGAACTGTGCACAAGTCTCCCTCTCTCTCCCTCTCAAGTGAAAGCCTGTCAATTCTAAAAAATAAACACAGCAGTTCAGTCATTTTCGCTGGCCATGAACTCCAAATGTTACAAATTCCCACTGCTCGGAATCGCTTCTGCTTCACTCACTCTCAATAATCTCTCTCCCTGTCTCATTCTTTCTACTAACCTTCTTCTTTTTGCCCACCATAACCTAACCCCAAATCTAACCATTTATAAGCAATATACTAATATACAATCTTATAATAATAATAATAATAAAATAGTCATTCAACACTTATTTTCTTATAGTCTAGGGTTTGCGCGTTAAGTAGTCATTTATTTTCTTATAGTCATTCAATACTTCAAGGAAACTTGTAGCTGAAATTTTTTGGAAGAGGAGAGAGAGAGATGATGGAACTGGACCAAACGAGGCCGGAGAACCCGGCCATGACTTTCGATGAGGTGTCCATGGAGCGTAGCAAGAGCTTCATCAAAGCCTTGCAGGTACTAACTACTTTCTTGTATCAGAATAAGAGCCACAAGTGAGGAATCTTTGTTACCAGATCTGTTACCAATTATTTAATATTGTTTCATTGATTTGTGTTCTCCGGTGTTGCGTTTCTCTTCCGTTGAACTTTTTTTAAGTCCGCTATTGCTTTTGGTGGATTGAGTGTTTTTGAAGTGCGCAAAATTATACGATGGGTGATTTTTGCAGGAGCTGAAGAGCTTAAGGCCTCAATTGTATTCTGCTGCCGAATACTGTGAGAAGTCATATCTTCATAGCGAGCAGAAACAGACGTAAGGATTTATGTATTTCGTGCTTTCCTGATTTAATTGATGTTCTCGCTACTCGTTGCATGACTTAGCTCCTTCTGCAAGGTATTATGAAACCTAATTTTTCCGACTGGAGATTTATTTGGAGAGACGACAGTCGATATCTATTCTTTACTAGATTTATATTGAGTTCTGCGTGGACTATTGAGTATGAAAGCTTGATTTGATTGTGTTGTGTATGTTGCAGAGTTTATGAAATTGTAGAATTTGATGCATAAATTATTTTAGAGCAGAATGTTTTGAAGACTACGTTTGCTGTTGAATGTGAGGTGAGGAATTTATGTAGCCAGCCACGAATCACATTTTTAGGGTACAGAACGTAAGGATTTAGTGAACCTTATATTTTGAAGGAATATGGAATTGTTTCTTCAGAATTAACAACCAGAAAGTAACATAGGTCTGCATTTCTGGAGCAATTAACCATTGATTGCGTCTGACAGTGCATGGTTAAGGCATTGACATTTTAATGCTGTGTGAATTAGGTCAAAGTTAAAAAAATCAAATGCATCCATTCTCTGCTCATGTTCACATATACTCTTATTGCCATGGAATAGGGTACTGGACAACCTGAAAGATTATGCCGTGCGAGCTCTTGTTAATGCTGTCGATCACCTTGGTACTGTGGCTTACAAGTTAACTGACCTTCTTGAGCAACAAACATTAGATATCTCAACCATGGAGGTTACGGTTTCTTGTCTGAATCAGGTAATTCTCAACATTCATCTGACTGGATGTCTTAGCATTTGAAATCATATGAAATGGATGGACTTTAACTCATTTAGTTTTTTGATATCAGCAATTTCTTACATGCCAAACATATACAGATAAGGGAGGTCTTCGACAACAGCAGCTGGTGGCATTCATCCCAAGACATCACAAGCACTACATTTTGCCAAGTAATACTAATTTCTTTAATTTCTTTAGAAGTGCTAGTCTATGTAGGGCGGTGTTATCAATTTCTCACTCCATTACTTTCTGTTTCCCCCTGTTTGTGCTAGACTCTGTCAATAAGAAGGTACATTTTAGCCCACAAATACAGACTGATGCAAGACAAAATCATTTTCAAGCTAGATCTCGTCTTCAGCTTGCAGGTATTAAGTTTTCCTAGTGAGACGTTTACTCTTGGTGGATTTGATACTGTTTTTGCCTTTGTTTCTCTCAATGTTGATGGGAAGGATCAAATTACTTGTCAAAACATTGCGTCAGGTTCCCCAGCATCAAAAACTCTTTCCTGGCACTTAGTTTCCGAGACCAAGTCTACACTGAAAGGGACTCTGCATGCTATGACAAGGTTACCCTATAAAAACTCTTTCTTGGGTTTTCAACCATGTCTGCCAAGAACTTTTCTATTTGCATCTCTCTTGCTGAATATGACATTGAGGTGTTTTACATGTGCTTATCATCCAGTAATGAAGATGCAAAAACTTCTGGAAAATCTTCTGCAGTTTTTCAACTCTTGGGTATGTATAAAAGCAGAATGTTGCAACTCCAAATCAGTCTAGAAATATTAATGTGTTATGCTTTGGATTCTATGCATGCAGATGAAGAAGAGAGTAGAAAAACAAGATCCTCAGGAGGTCTTGCTCAACTATCAAGCAGAAGTCCTGCAGCTGGTGCAATCATGCCAACATTTGATGTCCCACGCAGGGTAATGCCAAAATCAGCTAGAACATAGATACGCCCAATATTCTTCCAAGTGCATACTTGATTATCTAACAAAGAGTATATTAAATTTTGTCAGCATCTCCTTGCATGAGATTCATATAATGTTGGCATGTTTGCATGAGATTATTATAGTGTTTTTCAAACATTCATGCCAAATTCGGTTGGAAAGCTTTTCTATCATATTTTCATTTCGTGTTCTCATGATCTCTTCTTTAAAACCATACCTCAGGAGCTCATGCTCAGCTATTAAGTCCCTTAATTTCTGTATTATATTTTTCTCATCACCTCTTTTTGACTGCTTCTGAAAGTGCGTGTCTTCTTGGCTTTGATGGGGGAAAGTACTGCAATTTAAAGTGGTTTGTGATATCCTGCTCTGAAAAATCTTTCAAATTAATCATAAACATAAATGGTATGAGTCTTAATCTAGTGCCAGGTAAGTTGCTTGAGGAACATTGATGTGCCACTCTTTGAGGTCTTGAGGTTCCAATTGCTATTATGGGGAAATCATGACAAGCTGCTGCATTATTTAAATAGTGTTGCAAAATACTTCAAGCTTTTAAGCTGTTTGGATCCATAGGCATTATTGTGGATGGTTTCTTGTCCTTGCTCTAGTGCTGTCCTTTTGATATTCAATGATAGTGCAGGAAAAGGCTATGCTTTGTTTGGGTTTGCATAATAGTTTAATGACTTGTATTGAAAGTTCTTAGGTGCAATCTGGAAATGGTCATGATTGTGGTAATGAGACTGAACATGCCTTATGGTGTTCACCTTATGTACCTTGATGGGCTGTCAACGCTCAAATTTTCTCTTTGTAGAAAGAATCTACTGATTTTGAGTGAAAGTAGTGTCTATTGCAACCTTGTTATGCTTGCTTTAATGAAGAAACAAAGAAAGCAGTTGCTTCTCTCAAGTCTGGAAATTCTGGTTAACACCACATGCCTTAAAAAGAAGGTGCATGGATAAAATTTTGCACAGTAGAGCTGTTCACCATATGAACTCTCCTTTTGCCTTTCAAAGAAGTAGGAATATGTAACAGTACAGACTTTTGAACTTTTGAGTACATATCAAAATTCACCTAAAATGGCCTAGCAGCTGGGAACTAGTTGTTCTTATGATTCACTGTAAGAATTCATTTATATCAAGCAAATAAATATTTTGGGACCACCCGGTTTGGTTGGATATTTCATATATGCTAGTTTGATTTTATTTTTTTTCTTGGAAAGATTGGGTTTTACAAGTTGTCAAATGCCATTACAGATGTACATGTAGTAGACAAATAAATATTTTGGGACCACCCGGTTTAGGGGTCCATTTGTGGGTGAGTGAACTATGGTTAAATATTAGATGAAGGGGTTCTTGTTAGCTTATTACTGACTATTTTTCTAATCATCACCCAAGACACTTCTGGGCTATATCATTGATTGAAAACTGCGTATCTTTCTGGCCAGTCATACAACTTTCTTTGCTTGACAAATTTTGGTGAGGATTATTGTCATCAGTTTATTTTCTGCATGTCCTCTCCAAATGGATGTGATTTCAAATCTCGAGGTTTGGTTGGCTCATCCGAGCATTCTGTTGTATTTGCTTACAGTATGCGTTACAGCTAGGCATATGCTTATTCCAATTTTGAAACCTGCCCTGATAGTTGAGACATTGCTAACATAAGAATTTCAATTTGCAGGAATTGTTGGATGCTTCGAAGCCTTTGACAGCATTCAGGTCATTTGACAACCCAAGGCATGAGATTGTGCGTGCTCCTGTTCGCAGTAAAAGCATGCTATCAGCTTTCTTTCTAAAACAGAAAACCCCGAAGTTGAAGGCTGGCTCTGCTTCGTGATTCCTAGGTGGAGCAAATTGAATGTTACCAGTAAATGTCTCCAATTGTTGTTGATAATGAGTTCTTTTCAGCTCACTACTTAGTCAATTTGTCAAAATTATATTTTCTTCCACTCCAATAATTCCCCTAGCTTGACTCTGATAATGGGAATGCTGTGCATAAAGATCCAGTGATGAATATAATCGAGATTGTCTACTGCCTGAACTTTTTGCCCCTGGCCTATGTTAATAAAGTTGGGTTCTGATGATGGTCGATGTCACAGTGCATTGTGTTACGTTGCTGAGATTGATAACACAAATTTACGTGATGTCAGATTGGTGGTGTTTGTGAATACGTTCCGTTTCGGATGTACTGACACTGATTTTTGGAAAATCTTGTCATTTGAAATTGCGAGTTAGTTTGTATGCATTTTGTCCATAGGATTAGCTTATTTACTGGTGTCTTTTCGATAATGTCACTTGAGCAAGTTATGCTGATATGTTATTATTTTTTAATTAATTTAGATGTCTAGACTGCGTTACAGGTCCTGAAATTAATAAACTATGTAAGCCGTCCATGTTCATCTGTTATTTTTGTTTATTTTTTATCGATGTTGTGGTTGTAGCAGCTACTGTCAACAACCTTGAATTTTAGCAAGAGGTACCGAGGATAGCGGATAAATTGTGCAATTAGCAAGAAATGATGAATTAATATAGGGAAATAGTATAGTTTTGGATATCGCGGCGGTATTGTGGTTTAGAATCATAATATTTATTAAATATCATGTTGTCACTCGTGACAACAAAAGGTAATCGCTATATCAGTTAATTGATGTTAGAGAATTGACTTGATAGAGTCTAATCATATTTTTCTCGTGGAAATTTGGGCCTTGCATAAATATACGCTTAGTACTAGTTTGTTTTGTCTGTCGATTTATATTAGACCCTGCTATTAGTGTTTCTAACCAGAGCGTGCAAAGCATACATCTGAACGTGATTTTTTATTGAATGGTTCCATTTACTTCATTTCTCTATATTTTTAAGTTGATGAGGCTTTGCAAAGTATGGAAGAAGAAGTTGAGTGTATTTACAAGGATGAGCGTGGAATGCTTCTTGATGCTGAAGCAACATCGACTAGAGATGCAATGTGAGAACTCGGTCTTTCCTTCCCTTTTGCATTCACACGGTTTGCCTTCTGTAGGCTTAATCTACCCTTCATATTTTGCCATTCTCCTCTGCTTCAAAGTTTAGTCTCCCAAAGTAATTTTTCTTGCTCCTCCTCCCTTAATTATCTCTTATCTCCATTCCATCACTGTCTTTTAACATATCCTCCTGACCTCCATAAGAATGATACCCATCAT